TGTTCATTTCTAAAGATGGAAAGGGAGTGGATCCAAAGGTGAGGGAAGGTGGGAAGGAACTCAGGGCAATAGAGGTAGGGAAAGCTGTAATCTGAACACACTGTATTTTCAGCAAAAGGAGCAATATGAAAGAGGAGGAGGTAAAGAAGAGATATGGAAGCTTCAGTGTGATGAGAGAACAGTGCATTGTCTCACAGTATGCACAGGCTCCGGGTTGACTAATATGTTTCCAGAAGACACAGGTACAAAGATGAAACTTGTCCCTTGGTGTATTGTCAGGAAAATAGGAGATTATATGAGGTCACTGTAATTATTTAACTAGCACACACTCCCTGGGATTGATGCACACAAGTAAGAGGCTTCCTGCACACTTGAGACATGTAGAAAAACTTTCCTGAATCAATTGGCTTTGCTGGCCTGTGGGAGATTATTATGAGTAAGTTAGGTGGGCTGGGAAGAGTAGTCCACAGTGGGTGGCATCATTCCCTAGGAAGAGAATCCTGACCAATATAGAGGAAGCTAGCTGAGCTCTGGGGTGCATTCCTTGCTCTTTTCTTTTAACTGTGGATGTGATATGACCCTGTTCCTACCTTGTGACTTCCCTGCCATGGTGTATTTTAACTTGCATCTGTGAACTATATAAGCCGTTTCTCCCTTAAATTGCTTTTGATAAGAGTATTTTGTCATGACATTAAGAAAGAAAAGACAGAAGGGTAGTAAGATGCTTGGCCAAAATCTCAGGTGAATGTGTTACTAATGACCAAGAAAATTAACAAAGAGCAACTGTGTGCTCAAACTGACCTAGCAGGGTTTATGAGGAAGCCATTCTTCATCATACGATCCCTAAACTTTAGGAATAAATTTTGACAAAGTATATGAAAAGGATGGTTATGACCAAGTCCTAGCCCAAACACCCATGTACAGAGCATCCTGTTGGGTATAATATATTAGGCAGAAAAGAGCACAGGCACAGTAGTGGGACTAGTGATTTTTTTTTCTATAAATGAACATTTCTTATTTTCAAGCAGAGAAAAAGCAATCTCTTCTCAACCATTTGGTCGGGTTGTTCAGACCCCAGATCTCTCGTATTCTGCCCGTAATGTTATTTGATAAAACATTTACAGTGTTGTGTTTGCTTTGGATTCTGTGCTTACTAATTTGCTTGTTTTCTCAGATCTTTTCCATCCTCTGCCTCTCTTCCCACCCACTTCTGTCATCATGTTTTACCTGGTTGAAGTCACCTGTTCCAGGTGGTGACTGTGCACAGCAGGACACTGTAGCTCAACTTTCTAAAGCACTGCCCACAGCATGCAACAAGGGCTGGGCGGGGCAAGTTTTGAGTACAAGTCCTGACTTTCCCTAAGCTACTTCTTCTGGGTCCTGTTTGCCTGAGTGACCTTGAGCAAGCCACCTATTTTCTCTAATTTGTTATCTTTCTTTTTACAATAAGAATACCAAACCAAATAAGAAAGTATTTATAAAAAAGATTTAATTCCGCAATAAAATATTTGGAAGATAAGCACAAAGGTTATTCTCTAAATTTAGCATTATATTTACCATCAACTGCAGGAGAAGTATTCATGTCACTCTGCTATTTAAAGAAATGACTGCTTTAGGATTCTGATATTTTGCTGGAAAAAAAATAAGCTCAATGAAAATCTAGAACTTCCTGTCCCTAAAGCCCAAACCTGTTCTGCTGTGTGATCGTACGGCTACAGTATCACTGACAGGACAGTAACTGAGCACTTGTAATATAAACCAAGTTGCAAGAGGACAGGCCTATTTATTTCCGGAAGTTGTCAGTCTAGAGGGAGGGCTGCAGCTCAGCTCCTTCTGGCATGGAATCTGGGCCCATGACAGCCTCCAGCTTCTTGAATGGGTGACATGAATAACATTGAACAGAAAGCCATCGCAGTCTTCCAGGAAAGCCTGGCAGCTAGTCTAGAACTAGCCATTTCTACCCAGACAAGCACGTGGTGATTGAAAGTACCTTAGAAAAACAAGGAGTCCTTCCACAGGAAGTCTTAATGGAGAGAAATTAGGAAATAAAAGTCAAGGGCTGGAAAGATGACTCAGTGGGAATGGTGCTTGCTGGGTAAGTGTGGGTACCTGAATTCAAACTCCCAGAGCCTCCATAAAAGCCATACATGTTAACATAAGTCTGCAATGGCAGTGTTCCTATGATGATCCAGGAGGCAGAGACAGACTATTCGGAAGCCTATGGGCATCTTGCTTGGTGTACAAAATGGCGAATCACAAGAGATCCTGCCCCACAAGGCAGGAAGCAAGAACAAACAAATGATATTTCCCTAACCTCCGCAAGTACACTACGGTATACACACACTGTGATCACACACATGAAAACACAAACATATCATACAAAGATAGAGACAAATAGAGCCACTGAGGTATCTCCTGAGGAAGGACACTTGCCACCAAGCCTGACAGCCTGGAGATCTGAAGATTTACATAGAACAAGATGAAAAACAATGCTTGCAAGTTGCTCTTTGACCTCCACAGGTTAGAGTTCACAGATGCACATACAGTCCAAGGCTTGACCCTGAATTAAACCAATAATAAATATATGTGAAACCTGAAATAAAAGCCAAGTTTGAACATCAGTGTCCAATCAATAGCCATGAAATCAGAGAGTTGCTAATATGACCAGTCTCTCAGCTAAACAGGTTCTGTAACAGCATGCCCTACATTTTCTCAGAGCAAATTCAGGTAGAGTACTAAAGAAATAAGGTTTACAAACCAAACATGAGAGGGATAATGTCAGAAAGAGTTTAACAAGAACTAAGGCATTAGTATTCCTCAGAAGTATATGTAAACCATTTGGCTTCATTGGTTCCTTTAATAAATATTTGAGCACCTGCTCCGTCCAGGTCAGCACTTGACAACAAACTCGGATGAGGGCAGGACTGTGTTCTCAGTTGCTTAGTAACTCTGACTTCCTCTTAAGTGTGTGAATGGATTGTGTGACTTAATAGGTACATGGCACCGTGCTAAGTAGAACATGAACACAAAACGTGCAAAGAATACATATAGCACTGACAGCGAACTACAAGTGTACTTTGATGAGATAGATCTTGATCATTCATTGATGGTTCAGAGTGGCTAACCTTTGTGTTAAAGGTAGAATGTGGGTACAGAATACTGCCTCCTCCAGTTCTGCTGTTCTTAATCCCTGGAATGTATGGTTTGCAAATGGAAGGACAGAGACTTTGAAATGAGATTAGGGTGGATTAGCCAGTGTGATCAATGTAATCAGAAGGGTCCCAATTGGGTCAGCCAGAGAATAAAAGTGGGGGGGTGGGAAAGAAGAAGAGAAGGAAGAGAGGAAGGAAGCGAGGCAGGGAGGGAGGGAGCAACTATGCTTATACAGGACTTGTTGATGATCCACTGTTGGCTGTAAAAATGTAAAATAAACCTGCCGATAAGGACGACGCAACAACCGAGGATTTCTTCAGCAGCAAGTTTATTGAACAGCTCTTTCTTGCAGATGGTGAAGGACCCAAACCCCGGGTTGTGCTCTGCTTAAATAGCCAGCAAGGTGACCTGTCCGTCTGTAATTGGTGCTCTGTTCAAGTCTTCATAAGCATATGGCTGGCAATTGGAGTGCAGCCTAAACCCTCATTAGCATAAAGCTGCGCATGCGTAAACTGCAGGGCGGCGCAGGCAAGAAGCGCGAAAATGCTGGCAAGAAGAACCAGGAAGCAGGAAGCCGGCGCCATCTTGTAATGGCGGGAGCGGCTCCCGACAGAGGAACAAGTCAGGTGTGAAAAACACAGCCTCCACGGCAACCTGGAAAAACAAGCAAACAGGTTTCTTTCTCCAGATTCCAAAGGATCACTGTCCTAGTGACCCCTTGACTTTAGCTCCTTTTGGATTTCCTAGTTCCAGAACTGTACAAATATAAAATTTCGACTGTTTTCAGCCACCGAGCCTCTGGTAATTTTACAATGAGCTTCATGTGCTTTGACATTTTTTTGGCTTCCCAAAACCTGTAAACTATTATCTGTTTACAGATAAGCCGACTGACTCTGGTAGAGAAAAACAGAAACTAGCTCAATGTTTTTCTTCATATTGATTACACATAGAATAATATTTTGGATGTATTGGATTAAGTAAAGTAAATAAAACTGATTTTATCTGTTTCCTTTATGTGGGTCTATGCATGCGAGAGCAAGTGTCCTCAAGTCCTCCGGAGCTGGAGTTACAGGCAGTTGTGAGTGGCCTGTTGTGGGTGATGGAAACAGAACTTATGCCCTTATCTACTGAGCCATCTCTCCAGCCCTGTGGCAAACTTTAAAAATGCACATGTGCCACGCATACATTCCCAATGAACAGTGTTCACCTAGATTCTTACTCTCAGTAGTTCAACTTTTTAAAATAAACTCATTAGCACAGTAAAGTGTGATGTGATGTTTCGATTAATATATTCATTTAAAAATGTTAATGTTTAATTTCATGTGTATGAGTGTTTGCCTGCTATAGGTCTGCGGCACTTTCTTGGGGCAGCAGATCTCCTGGGAC